CCAGCACTCAGGAGGCAGAAGCAGGCGGATCTCTGTGAGTTCAAGGCAAACCTAGTTCCAGAGCGAGTGCCAGGATAGGCTCCATAGCTACACAGAGAAACCCTGTCTCGAAAAAAACAAAACAACAAACAAGCAAAGGTTTGGAAAAGGATGTCTCCATCACTTGGCAATAAGCCAAGGAGACAGTGAGAAACTGTCCTTCCTTTTATAATCAAGCTCCATTGCCAGCAAGCTGTAATGCTAAGGGCATTCGGAAAAACCAGGTTTGGCAAATGGATGTCTTTCACTTTGCAGAATTTGGAAATTTAAAATATGTGCATCATACTATAGACAAATTTTCAGGGTTTCAATGGGCTACTGCTCTTAGCTCTGAAAAGGCTGATTCTGTTATATAGCACACCTGTTACAGGTGATGGCCTTTATGGGTATACCTGCACAAATAAAAACTGATAATGCTCCAGCATAGTCTCCACTAAATTGGAACAGTTTTTCAAATATTACAACATAAAACATGTAACCAGTATACCACACAATCCCACAGGACAAGCAGTGATAGAGAAATCTAATAGAATACTGAAAGAAATGCTCCATAAACAGGCTAGGGGAACGAAAACCCCCAAACATAGGTTGTATAATGCTTTATTAACACTAAACTTTCTTAATGCTAATGAAAAGGACAAACAGCTGCAGAAAGACTCTGGACTATGAAAAAAATCTGCTGAACTGAATCATCCGGTATACTTCAAAGATGTACTAACCTCTGTATGTAACCCAATGTGTTACATTGGGGAAGGGGTTTTGCCTTTGTTTCCACAGCAGAAGAAAAACTTGGATACCATCAAAGTTGATCAAGATCCAAGTCAAAAAAGGAAAACCTTTTGATGAGGAGAAATGACAGGTAATCCACCAAGGTATATCTCATAAACTGTATAGAATCCTCACAAAGGAAAGGGAAGTGTTTTGTTTTTATTTTCAAAGAAAAACTCATCTCCATAAGGCAAAAGTCACTGCATGGGTAGATACTTAAAGAGAAGGTAGCTATAGCCATCAAACAAAAGGAACGTGCCATTTGGTAAACTTTACAGCTGTCTCTCAGAGAACTCTATTTCTCTTTACTTCCTAGTCCCTATTCAATTAAACCAATGCTGACTTTAGAGTTGGATTTGGCTTTCCTCCTCTAAATCCAAGCATGTTGTTAAAATAAAATTCAGAGTTTCTGTATTATATCAAGAAGCCAATTGATGTAATACAGAATAAGAGGAAAATTGGGGACTATGATTTGTCTTTTCTTGGTTCTTTCTCTCAAAGTATACATTCCCTCATAATTGTTATCTTCCCATTGTTGCCTTCCCAGTATGCATACATATAAAAGTAAAAATTTCTCTGCTAACATTTATGTTTGAGTTCCACACAGCAAATGAAGAACTGCCTGACAACAATCCCTGAACACTCCAAAAAGGAAATGGGCCCCACCTCCTCAAGTTCACTGGATCCAACTTGATTTGTTTGAATTGACACTCCGGCCAGAGCTTTGGGTACTGACTCCAATTAACACAAGAACTTCAATCAAGATAAGGACTTCAACCTAGATCTTCAATCAAGCAAATCCCATCAAACATGGACTGGATATAATCTACTCAAGACTTTCACTATACTAACATTTTCTTCCTACAGGACCCCACGAGGCTATACTCATCCCATTTCAGCAGGAAGTAACTTGGAAAATACTACATCCCCTTTCCCCACTGTTGTCACTAAGGATAATATACACCTATTTAGAGCTAGTTTCCTATTGTTTAGGGTTGGGTTTGGAAGGAGTTGTTCAGGGTTGGACATCTCTTTCAGATGACTTTAGGGTTTAGTTGGAATAGACATAGTTAGGATATGATATTAGTAGAATATTAGGTCTTCTTGTAAATTTACCTTTATGATTGTTAATTATAGATAATTAACACTGTTAAGTTTTAATTCTCTTTAGACTAAAAGGGGAATTGTATAGAGAAAGCATGATTAGAGGTACCACTGACTATGCTGGCTTGGGCATGGTCAGAGTGATGTGGGAAAGGTTTAAGTATTTCAGGGGCATGCACGCAGGCCCCTTCTCACTCCCCACTGCCTGGGTAAGCGGATCTGTGTGAGTACTATTTCTTAATAAACTATATCTATCTGATCTGAATCCACATTGAGGTCCCCAATAAAACCCAGAACTCAGAAGGCAGAGGCAGGTTGATCTCTGAGTTTGAGACCAGCCTGGTCTATAGAGTGGGCTCCAGGACAGCAAGAGCTACTCAGGGAAACTTTCTCAAAAAAAAAAAATTACTTGTTTCCTAAGGGAGAAAACTGGCAGGATTTTAGGGTTTGTTGCTGTTGTTTTGCTGTTGCTTTTGGCTTGCCTAGCATGTACAAATCCAAGGGTTTGACCCCTAACATCACATTACAATTGAGGAAAGGTGGTGTACACATGTAATCCCAGCTCTCAAGATGAAAGGCAGCAGAGTGTTGGAGACAAGTGCCTTTAATTCCAGCACTCGGGAGGCAGAGGCAGGCAGATCTCTGAGTTAAAGGCCAGCCTGGTCTCCAGAGTGAGTTCTAGGACTGCCAGGGCTACAGAGAAATCCTGTCTCGAAAAACCAAAACACACACACACACACACACACACACACACACACACACAAGTGCAGAGGTGCTAGTGGGAGACCAGAGTCATCAGATCCCAGCTGACATTCCAGGCAGGTGTAGGCCACTGGCGTGACTGCTGGGATGGACCTTAGTCCTCTATGATAGCAGTTCATGCTGCTAACTGCAAGCCATCTCTCCAGACCCTGCCTTGACCTGTAAAAGTGGGAAGAATAACTCCAACTTAATCCCTCATCCATATTCTCATCCTCCCAACAACACTGAAGCCAGCAGATCTACAGGTCACTTACCAGGCCGGGTTCCCTGTTGTAGGCCGTGAGGTGTGGGACATAGTGCTGCACTGGAAGGCCACTTGGCTCCAGTACTTTCTCTGACTATCAATGACTTCCCTTCACTCAGTAGCCAGGTAGCCAGAGAGCCTGGCTAGGGGACCAATTTGTCACTTTCCCTCTGTCCATCCTTATGTGATGGCTGGGAGAGAGCCACACAGCTAAGACTGGCTCACACTCCAGCTCTCTGTGACCTTTGTGGACACCTAGGAAATGACCTCCACCTAGGGAAGCTCATTGTTCAAAATAAGATGGGCTTCCTCCTCTCCATCTATCCCACCTGAGTGTTCCTAAAAGGGTAGGCAAAGGTCTGGGGTGGTATGGGGCACAATAGTGAAGAGAGTCACAGCCAGGATAAAACTTCTGGGGTAAGGGCAGATGTCACTAACTTCTCTCACTAACACTAGGACAGTGGCTCTCAACTTCCTAGTGTTTCGACCCTTGAATACATGTTGTGAGGAAAATTCATGTGAGGAAATGTTGTTCCATAAAATTAGTTTTGTTGCTACTTCCTAACCGTGATTTTGCTTGTGTTATGAATGTAATTTAAATGTGTTCACTGATGGTCTTAGGCAATCCCCGTGAAAGAGTCATTCAACCCCTACCTCCAGAGGCCGAGACCCACAGGTTGAGAAACACTGTTCTAACATTCCCTACTAATCTACCCTATCCTGTTCTTGCTCCACACTAAGGCCTTCTCCACTCAGATCAAGTGGTTATTTGTGTTTTACTTATCTGAGACCTAGTCCAGGCTGGCCTCAAACTCACCATGCAGCTTGAGGATGACCTTAAATTTCTGGTCCTCTTGCCTCGACTTCCCAAGTACTGGGGTTACAGGTGTGTGTCACTACACTCGGTTTCATGCCATGCTGGAGACTGAATCAGGTACTTTGTGCTGTATTGAGTTACTTCCCAAGGCCCCCTGGGTCTTCTTGCTGCTCAGATGGGTCAAGTTGTCATGGCTGAGAATTACATCTACTGTTCTGCTGCCACAGACATCCTTCTCTTGGATCCTCACAGAGGCAGCTTTCTCCTCACTCAGTTCTTTGGTCAAGCTGTAAGGCCTAACCCCCGAAAGGGAAGATCCTCACTCAAGTCTCAGGATGACTCGACCCCCAAGTACTCACGAGAGACTGTCCTTGCTGCAATCGCACGAGGTTTATTGACAGGAGCCAGCGCGCTGGGGCTGAGACTCATATCCCACGCAGGGGAAGAGGAGTTTCCACCCCGAATGGCTGGGAATAGGGGTTTTTAAAGAAAGAAACCACAACCCAAAATACCACGAATACCAGTGAGGAAAGAAACCCCAACCCAAAATACCAAGAATACCAGTGAAGGGTCCCAAGGGAAAACACAAGGGAAAACTCCCTCCTTATTCCTTAAGATTGTAAGATTCTAATCTAACTTTTTATGGCTAGCCTTTTCCTGGAACAGAGTTGCTGAACCAGCTAGCCACCCTATATCCTAGGCCTTATTTTGTCTGCTGAGGGGGTCTTCTTTATCCTGAACTTTCAAAGCACCTTCCCACAAACTGGATGTGGTGGCTCTCCCCTGTAACCAAAGCAACCAGGAGGATGAGACAAAAGGACTGAGAATTTTGAGGGCAGCTAGGGTTACATCTTGAATTCTAGGTGAGCCTGGGCTACCCAGCAAGGTGTTCTCAAAAACAAAAGAAACAAGCTATGCTTGGCAGTACTCATCTGCACTGTGAAGGTAGAGGCACTCTTGCCTTCAGGTCATACTCAGCTACATGGCAAGTTCGAGGCCAGCCTGGGTTACAAAAGACCCTAATCTAAAACAGAACAAAAACCAGGGGCCACAGACATGACTCAGATGGTAAAGGTGCTTGCTACCAAGCCTGGTGACCTGAGTTTGACCCTCAGAACCTACATGGTTGAAGGAGAGATACAATTCTTGCAACTTGTCCTGACATCCAAGTATAAACCATAGCTTGGCTTTGTGCATACATACCATGCAAAATAATGAATTTAAAAATAAAGAAGCAACATCGTTCAGAGGCTTTTCCTGACCTCTCAACATCAAGCAGCCTCTCCCAGCCCTGCTCTCTGTCCTATCCTTATCCTGCATGTATATTGCAAACCACAACCTACAATTATTTAGTTGCTACTACTATTATGGTTACTCATCAGTCTCCTGAATGGAATGTGACTTCTGTTGAGGCAGGGAATCTGCCATTTGCTCACTGTAGGAGTATCACTTGACCTATGCTTGAGACATTATAGGTGTTAAATAGTTATCCACTGGGTGAATTCAATGAATAAGTGGATGAACTAAAGTCAGGTGGGAATGCACAAACCTGTAACTCCGTAATCCCAGTATTTGGGAGGTGGAGGCTGGAGAATCAGGAGTTCGAGGCCAGCCTCAGCTTCGAAGCCAGACTGGAATACATGAGCCTGTCTTAAAAAAAAAAAAAAAAAAAGTAGTCAGGTGACTAAGGGGTCATGTCATATCTGTGTCTGACACCTTCTCACAAGCGTGCATCCTGGGAGAAACAAGTCATTGGCCACAATGTCCTTCTCTTGCAGCCTCTGGTTACAATCCCAACGATTGCTATCAGTATTTTGCATTTGCATCAGGTCAGTATGTATGTCTTCCAGTCCTTTTTTTTTTTTTTAAGATCTTAAGAATATTCATCAAGATGTCTCATACTGTAAAGGTGCCTGCCACCAAGCCTGACAACCTGAACTTAATCCTGGGGACCCACAGGGTAGAGAAAACCGACTCCTCCAAATTGCCTTCAGTCCTTCACGGGAACACACACACATCCCAAACAAATATTTTAATTAAAAACATTTTTTTTTCTGGGGAAAAAAAAACCTTTCTACATTTTACTGAGGCTCACAGAGGATGCAGGGCTGAGCCAGTCCCTCGTTGGTTGTCTACTTAGGTTACAGACAGTGACAGAGGTGGCTGACGTCAGTCATTCCATCTTGTTTGGAAGTTGCCTCCTGGCTTGCTCACTGTCCTCAGGGTCTCCTGGACTCCAGTTCCTCGCTGAAGGTGAGTTCCCGGTGCGAGTCCAGTTAAGCGGCCTCCTTGTCTTCACATACCAAATCCTCCTCACTCCTCACTCCTTCCCTGACCACCCGGAAGGGGTCTCCGTGACCAGGCACCACCACATCAGCCACACGCAGAATCCTCTCCCGGCTCCGCTGCTGAGCTCCTGGGTCTTCGCTCAGGGCCTGCCAGGCGTCCTCGTCCCCAAGGCGCTCGAACACGTCGCCAGCCACCACCACGGTGCCCAGTCCGGTGCCCTCCACCACGACGCTCACGTCCCGCTGTCCCCCGTGGCCCGGCGTAGCCCACACCTGCAGTCCGGAGCTCAGCACTAAGGGCTGCGCCTCACACAGCCCGAGAGGCAGATAGAGGCCGCCGGGCAGGCAGAAGTCATGCGACACCAGCAGAGCCGCCCGGGGAAACAGCCCGAGGTTCCCGATGTGATCCGAGTGCCCGTGGGTCCCCACCACCAGGGTCACAGCTGCAGGGGCCA